TTTGGGTCACTAATGTGCTTCGACTATTCGGACCTCTTGCATTCAGGCAATTCTAAACCCGCTTTTAACACCTGTCAAAAAAGTTTGGCGACACTCTCCCTCTTAAATGAATATTCTTTATTCATTTTATCTTTGAGGGATTGGAACGTTCTATTACCTATTCCTATTGCTTGTCTCGAGCGTTCTCCTCCACCTTGAAAGATTTGTGGCTAATCATTTCCCCCTAGTATCATCTTCGGTTGGGGGTTAGGGTTGTAGGCCTGCTTGGGCTTTTTTCATACTGCATTGGCTGCTTGCCCTTGTCTACGTTGTAAATCACCTGTTTTTCTTTGTTGTATCTGGAAAAAAATGTAGAGTAGGCCTCCCCTCTTCTAGCACCTGGGAGCTTAGCCTTCTTGTGCTTATCAGAGTGATTTTCTGATCTGGACAAGTTCAGTTTCTCAAACGGCCACTTTGTCTAGCAAGTTTGAAATATATTGATTAGCCATACACAGGAAAGGTTGCATCTTGTCATCAATGTTGCCCATTAACAACTGTATGGCATGCTCTTCTTCAAGTTGTTGCTCACATTTCAAACTTAGGTTGCGCTAGCAAGTGATGTATTTTGCCACTGATTATTCCCCTTTTCTTTTATCCAGAGCATGCTCAGCAATTGTTATCATCTCCATTGAACTGACGAATCTCTTCACGAACATAGTTTTAAATTCTGCAAAGGTCTTCACAGAATGATTTGGTAGTTCAGCGTACCATTCGAAAGCAGTTGTTGTCAAACTACTAATGAATTGTCGGAAGAGTAGGGCGTCATTTGCCTCCTGTGTTCCCGCAGACGGCTTTAATGTGTCAGGTGCTGTCTGGGGTTGTTATTATCATTGAAAGTGTTGAACTTTGGGACCGAATACCCTTTCGGGTATGGTACTTGGTCGTATTCAGCAGGATACTGAGCACCTTTGTCCATGAACTTTTCTGCTAGATCAACGGCTATAAAAGCTCTGATCTTTTCGGTAATGATTCCTTCTAAATGCGCAACAGTAATAGGCTCATAAGTACTTGCAACATTTTGTGGAGTTGGTTGGCGGACGACATTATGAGCCTCATGACCACCTTCAAGAATGCCCTGTACTCCCAAAACTTGAGGCATTTGAAAGTTTGGAGGATCCAAAAGAAGATTGGGCACGGAACCGTCGGCAGCATTTCTCTGCATCATCTACATCATTATCGCCATTTGGGTCATCATCTCAGTCATCTTCTCATTTAACTGAGAGATTTCCCTGTCATTTTCTCTCATTTGTCGTCTCATCTATCGCCGCATTTCAGCGAGTGTGACGTTTTTGGCATCAAAAGGATTCTCCTTTACTTCCTCTTCACCTTAAGAATGGCCACCCTTGCCAGTGGTAGACCCATCTCTGCGGCGGCGCCGGTATACTTGCTTGGGTGGCGGTTTCCAACAATCGTCATCTTCATCGTCATCATAATCGGCATCATCATCGATGTCTATATGTGTCACTATATAGACAACTTCCATATCCAAGGTGTTATTTGTTTCTTCAAATTCTTCTTCTAGGTTTTCCATCATATATTCTTTGATATTTTCTTCCTCTTCAAGATATTCTTCACCTTCGATATTTTGATCTTCTATATTTTCTTCTAGTACTCGAATCACCAAGCGGCGACACCACTGGATCTCCGATTCTTGGTTAGGAAAGGAGATTTCTTCGACTAGTGGACTGCGATCGAAGTTAGTCTCTTCCTTCGGAGGAGATAGCGAGTGACGGGATCCCCTGGAGGATTGTTCAAGGTGTCGAACGTCGGGAGGGGTGTCATTATGGATCCTTTTTGGGACCCATTTCTGACGTTCTTTAAAGATGGTGGCGGATCTCCGGGAAGCCATACCGGATGTCACGCTCATATCAGTTCTACTTTCTCTTCTATCTTCTTTGCGAGGCTTTGGCCTCCATATTTCTTTTTCTTTCTGACGAGACCTTTCAGCAGCGGATCCCTGAACTCGAGGTTTAGGTGTCACGCCCCGATGCTCACCGCGTGGGACATATCTTCTTTCTTTTCTCTCCACCACAACAGACAATCATTCTATTGGTGGAGTTCTTATAGCTTAAATTATCAAGGGCCGCTGGTACTTCTTTTTCTTCAGCCCTTTCTCCTTCACTGTTTTCAGGACTCTGTATACCCGAGCTGAAAGAGTCATAGGCTCTTTCTTCCTTGGAGGGATTGGGGCTTCAGGTCGTTGATCCCAAAAAGATTGCTTTAGCTCCATAGTAAAGCTGTTTCTCTTTACCCACTTCATATTTGCAAACCCATTCCAGGTTGAAATGGTAGCTTCAGGCTCTTGGGCCGGCAGGTTGGATGGATGAGTTGGGAATTGTAGCTGAGCTCGAAGTTCAGCACTCTTCTTTCTCCTCTGTCTTCTTGTAAGCCTTCCTCCATATGAGGAGGCCTCAACATCATTCTTCCCGAGTGCAGATAACCCGGTTGACAGGGGTGTGGTGTTTGTAATCACCATAGAGACTCTTCCACCATTCACAATCCTCCTGGTGGTCCGGGCCTCAGGCTGTGATAGCCTCTCGAATACAGAAACCCTCTTACGAGGATTTTCAGCAACAGGTCGTTGTGCCGACAGATGCACATGATGGGTGGGAGCTTCATCAGCATTGAGTCTCTTGGCAGACCTCTCGACATTCTCGCCATTCGCAGGAATGGCGGCAGTCCTTGCAACGCACGCAAAGCTTACCTGATTCGTCACAGACATCGCATCAAGCTTTCTCCCACCGTGCTAAGAAAAGTATGCATAGGAGGCCTACTCATTGCACCGCAGGCGTTGACAACGGCATTTCAAGTTTATAGTGAGCATTATACATTAGGATGTGGCAGGCAATGATTATGAGGGATCAATACACAAGCTTATATCTCACTTTTTTTTTAATAACACTTTTTTTTATTTGCTTTTTGTTGCTAATAAAAATAAATAGTAATAATAGAGAGAGAGAGAGAGAGAGAGAGAGAGAGAGAGAGAGAGAGAGAGAGAAGAAGACGAATACTTCTTTTGGGAAAATAGGGGTCGTTTGGGAGTTGGCTATTTGGTGTGGAGGAAAGGTGCTACTCTTAGGTGGAGTTCAGCTGAATATGGAGGAAGGAAAGTGTTGGTGTTGGTGCGGCTTGAGAGGCTGCTGACAGCAGCTTAGAATGGAGAGGAGCTGCTGTATGGAATCAAGTACAAGGATGGGAGAGCTTATGTTAGTTGTTGGCTGCTATGTAGTGGCGTTGGTGGCTGGATAGTAGAAGGAAAAGGAGGAATTTGGATAGTTACAGGGTGTGAAGGATACTGTGGGGTTAGGAGGAAGTGTGGTAAGTGGAGCGGAGCCCGATTAACTGTACGTGATTGGAGTTTGTGGTTTGGAGGTTGTGAGGAGGATGGCTATTGGTGTAGGTCTTTACATGAAGAAGATTGGCCCTGTCTGTTATTGGTGTGGAATTTGGTTGGGGATTTAGACGAGAGTCACGAGCTCCAGTGATGGCTACGATAAGTGAAGTGCAGGTGAGGAGCTGGGCGGGTGTGAGGGTTGAGAAGTGCGAGGTGTGGACGTATGGAGAAGTAACAGGTAGTGGTTTGCTTAAGTGGATGGAGAGGGGAAAGAGTAGGCTATGTCGTGGAAAGATGGAAGGCCGCTGTGGGATCGGAGTGGAGTAATCCTGTTGGTTTTTTGTATGGGGCTCTTGGGTCTTGGAGGGTAGGAAGGTTGGTGTTGAGGATTGATGCTGCTATGGAGAAGGGAGTTGCGGTTTACAGAGGAAGAGGAGGTTGATTGGAGGGCTGCTGAGATGGGAGATTGGTGGAGGCAGAGGCTTTCATGAGTGGGAGCTCTGAACAGAGAGTGTGGGAGCTTTGAACAGATAACGAGAGAAGTGAATCGGAGAGAACGAAAGGTTGAATATTAGATTAGATTTGTCAGTCAATTCTTTTAAGAGGTACTGGTAGGGATTTGAGGCAACAGATTTAATAGCACATGATAGGATACAAAATTTCTTTTATTTGATTTTTTTATAATATATATATATATATATATATATATATATATATATATATCAATTGATTTTTTATAGTAAAATGATTTAGAGAAAATTACAGAGAAATGAATAGTCCTCTCAAGTTAATTCTAGTGATTAGTGCATCTCATTTTGTATGTCGCCGTCTTGAAACCCATGTCAATTTTATACTTCCGCTTTTTTACACTGTGCAATCACCCTGACAATATTATTGTCATTTCTGGTATTTCGATGTTGAAGACACAACGACAAAGTCTGTTTTGCAAACAAGCGGCATTCGGGCAACATCACACAACATTTGGTCTGTAATTTGTCATTTTTAACGTCTTCACTAGATTAGATTGCGAGGAATCCCCCCTTAGATAAATTTGATGTCATGATCTCCTCGGCACAATCTGTTTGATGATCGGAAGTCATTCGGGTAGATTTTTGTGTATCGTGGCATCTACCAACAATTAGTTTTTAAATTGTTGCTTGATCAAGTTGCATACAAGCGGCTCCTCTTTGGTAGACTCGATATTCTGAATATATTAATGCGGTCAATTTCACTATTGGATAAAATTTGACCTATTTTAATAGAGATCAAAGCATCTCAATGCTCGTGCTAAAAGACATTCCTGTTAGCCGCCTTCCTCAATGTACTCGATTGATTGTGGAATATGCATAGAGGTCAACAATAGATAACAATAATTGTAATGTAAAACACGTAAAACTCAATATCAAGCAAGAAAGGCAACAAAAATAAAGAAGCATCATCTAAAAGTTCTTGTTAATAATATGTTGAAATGAAAAGCTTCCTATACCAAAACTAGACTTGACATAAATGGCGGAAATTTCTACAATAATGAATAAGGAATGAAAATTTTAGGAAAACGAGCTATTCATTTCAGCAACAAAAGGTGACATCAATTAGATCAACATTGAGCTTTTTACAGGAACCTTACCATGCTACCAAATCCGATATATAAAGGTTTTGATCCTCGCAGAAGCCATTGCTCAAACTCTTTTGATGGTTGGTACCTTGCTCCAAGGTTTAAGAAACAGAAGCCAACAACATCTACTAAGGGGCCCCAATCTGGAAATCTTGTGCTTTAGTAAGCAGATAAAAAAGCAATACGTTTATTTTGAAATAAAGAAAGAGATGATCTTCAGAAAATTATAGGACAGAAAGAAAAGAGTAGATACAGCAAAAATGGAAGACTTCATGCTCACCGTTTGGCTTAGGGACGAGGTGGGGACTCCATAAGTAACCTGTTGGCAAATGTGATATTGATCCATGATACGTGCTGAAGTAAGCAATTGAGGGCAACTTCAGTTTTCTTTTTCTGAAGTCATTAATATACCCCCTGATCCCCCACCAAACAATTAGGTCCACGACAAGATAAGAAAGCTAAAAAATGTAAGAAAAACATTAGACAACTTAAGTGATTTAAAGGTAAAGAAACAGAAGCCGCATGAGGCAGATATATACCCTATACGCAGCACTCTGAGGAACACGCGCCAAAGGATGAGGGAACTCACTTGTTGGCCTTCATTTTAAGAAGTAAGAAAGTGCATCAATACTTTAAAAAACAAATCTATAACAGAAGACCGTCAGCAAGTTAAATAAAATAAACTTCATCAATCAACAAAAATGCAATTGCAAAAATGCAATAAAATAAACTTCATCAATCAACAAAAATGCAATTGCAAAAATACAATAAAATAAACTTCATCAATCAACAAAAATGCAATTGCAAAAATGCAATAAAATGAACTTCATCAATCAACAAAAACATTAGACAAATCAAGTTAATTCTAGTGATTAGTGCATCTCATTTTGTATGTCGCCATCTTGAAACCCACGTCAGTTTTATACTTCCACTTTTTTGCACTGTGCAATCACCCTGACAATATTATTGTCATTTCTAGGTATTTTCGATGTTGAAGACACAACGACAAAGTCTATTTTGCGAACAAGCGGCATTCGGGCAACGTCACACAACATTTGGTCTGTAATATGTCATTCTTATCATCTTCGCTAGATTAGATTGCAAAACCTAATCAAAAGCTTCCATATCATTTTAAACAATTGCTCCATTCAGTAAATGAAATCTATATGAAATGCAAATTCAGAAAATCTAATGCCAAAACTATTATATCCATGAAGTGATAGGTCTTCAATTTGCATTGTCACATCTATAAGCATATTGGACACTTTGAGTAGGACACTAGTCAACCATAAGATTCTCTAGGGCTTGTTTGATTTGAAGTAAAAGGGTTATTAAGTATGTCAAATGTAGAGGTTTTGAAAATATCAGAATTTGGTTTGAAATAAAAAAATGCATAATTAAATTTTGGTGTATTTAGAATACACCATCTAATGAAATTTTAGTGTATTTGAAAATCATTAGATTGGGCGATTTCCAAATACACCGTAAATTCTTTTTCATTGCCGCTGCCACTGTCGTCGATCACTGTCGACCACCACCATCCTTCACCAACCAACGTTGATAGTCATCGGCCATCTTCGAAGGAAACTAGCAACCCCTCATCACTGTCACCCGCTGCTTTCTATCAACCACCGACCGCCATCATATTTGGGGTTTACACAAACCAAAAAAAATGATAATAGCCCGCATTTATTTACACTCATTCAAACAACTCCAAACATGTAAAGTATATTACATTCCATTTACAGTGCTTTCCATTTTACTTTGAATTCATTTTCAACCAACCAAACGACCCCTAAAATATATCACCAAGATGTGACAATATAAATTAGATAAAATCTACACAAGTCCATATGGGTCATAATCCCAAATTAATCTTACCATCTTTGATTCTCTGCCTTCAAGATTATTTGGTGAGCAACTCATTAAATTTTGTAACAAATTTTGATTTTGAGAAAAGGTAAATAATGTGGCTAGAAGATTTCAAGTCAGTCTTTTTTTTGGACTACAACAAAATGCTAATCAATATTGTACAAATAATATTTATGATAAAGTATGTCAATTATAATATATATATATATATATATATATATATTTGTTTGTGTATAGTTTGATTGGGCTTGCTAAAATAACTTAACAAAGAAGAAACGTGAGGATGCTAAAGGAGGTGACTATTATTGTTGGTATATTAAGTCAGCTTCAAAAAAATAAAAAAGGGCAAGTTATAGCGAGGGAGGAATTAGAGAGCAAGTGGGCGCGTGACTAGTAAGAAAGTGAGAGAGCTCAAGAGGAGACAAAGGCAAGCAGCAAACCCAACAGAAGCAAGGCAAGAGAGAGAAAGAGAGTAGGAGACTGAGTGGTTGAGGATATCAAGCTGAGCAGAGCTTGTAGGCATGAGTAACCAAGAGTGAAAAGGCTTGAGCATGAGCGCTTGAACATGAATGTAGAAGATTGGTGCCCAACAACAATAAAATTGATTTGCATACTTAAGATGTATTAGATTTAGCTTATGTTAAGAAAGGTAAAGGTAGACCTTAAAAGACTTGGTTAGAAAATATTAGAAATGATCTTTCTTTATTAGATTTAAATGAGAATTTGAATCTTAATAAGACACAATGGAGAAAAAAGATTCATCTAGCCGACCCCATGTAGAGGGATAAAGGTTTTATGTTGTTGTTGTTGTTGTTGCACTTTTCTTTTATGACTATGCAGTGATTGACATGTGTGAAAAGCTTATGTGCTATTGTTGTTGAGTAAATTGTAATACTTGTGCTTCAAGTTTCATTAATCACATATCTAGTTCTATATTATTTGTTCACCATCTTATATCTTTTGCAAGTGCATTGGTAGATTGAATCAAATTCTATTAAAAGATGTTAAAGCAAGGGCTCTTTATATTAAGCTCCACATCCTAGAGCATATCCTAATGTCAAGCACCATTTTCAATTATTCCTTGTCCAAGGGTAACATCCTACTAGATCATCGTGCTTAAAATACGTATTTTATTTTTTTTTAAATTAAACGAATATATTTTAACCTTCTATAGAATTTATAATATGGCATATGACGGGGAATAAATACATTCCCCATTCATTGTTTTTGCAAATAATACTTATACTTAATGAGTCTTTTGATTCTGGACACATGAAGAAATTCATTCAACAAAACTAAATGCAATGTTTATTACATTTTTTTTTAAGCACTTACACAAGCATATCATTTAGTTTCTTTTAACTTAAAAATAAACAGAGATATTTTGAATGCTCATCTTTACTGGTGGCGATCTAGAAAATGAAAAGAAATAAAGTCCAGGAAAAATCATATCAAGTGGAGAACAAACGAAGACCCTACATAGCTTGGCATATGAAAGCTCAATTGATGACTTGGCAAATGAGCACAACATTTTAAAAATAAATACATTTCTCTAACGAAAGAACCATCCTCATTTGTCCTATTAATGATATCCAATGAGATGCAAATTGATGCATGCAAAGGGAGGGGCAAATCAAATCCTAAATTTTGGTTTTGACTGCTATTGGGTTTGCTAGCTCATTAATATTTTGAGCTGAAATTTAGCTCATTATGAGCTGGTTTTTAGTTTATTTATTAAAGTAAAAAGGTAGCTCATTATTATTACGATTTGGTTCTTCCCCTTCCCCCTCCCCTTTGTCTTCTTGGTTCCCGTGGCTGGCTGCTAGGTTCCCGTGGTTTCCTGCTTGGTTCCCGTGGTTCCCTGGCTGGTTCCCGTGCCTTGGCCCTTTGGTTCCCGTGGCTGGCTGCATGGTTCCCGTGGCTGGCTGCTTGGTTCCCGTGGTTGCCTGCTTGGTTCCCGTGGTTGCCTGCTTGGTTCCCATGGCTTCTCTTCTTTGTTTCCTGTACCAAATGAGGGCTGCTGTTTGGTGGCTGTTGGGTGGGGATTTCGGTGGCTGCCTCTCTGTTTTTTTTTTGCAGTTTTCTGCTGCAATTGTGGGGATTTCGGTGGCTGACTCTTTGTTTTTTGCGCAATTTTCTGCTGCAGTTTTGTGGGGATTTCGGTGGCTGCCTCTTTGTTTTCTATGCAATTTTCTACTGCAATTTTTGGCTGTCTTTTGGCCTTCTAGTTCCTTCTTTTAATTAAGATATTAAATGTGTTTTAGGTGGTTGTTTGGCTGCCCTTTTCTTCTATAAATAGGAGGTGTTTCGAGATGTTAAAAGGATGGTGAAAATTATGATTTTTTGAGATAAAACCTGAGGGTTTTTGGAAAAGCTTAAGAGCTTGTTCCACTTCTTCTTCTTCTACTTCTTGGGAAGACTTGCGAGCTTCTCCTATCTTCGTCTTGGATTTCTTGCCTCCTCTCCGCAAGTACCATTCCACAATTTTTGGCTGTCTTTTGGCCTCCTCTCCACCAGGAGTATCCAAAGAGTGAAAACTACTGTTTGGAGAGTTTGGACAGCAAGCAACCACCTCCGGGATCCAAACAGCGAAAATTGCTGTCCGAGGCAGTTTGGACAGCAAATTCCTCCTCCATAACAGCTTGGATAGCGGTGGCAACATCCGGAAAGGCTTGGACAGCGGTCTTCCTCCTTGGGAAAATCTTGGACAGCGGCTTGGAGCCTTCAAAAGGAGCTTGGACAGCAATTTGGAGCGCTAGGACAACCCGGGTGAGGTAAAGCACTAAAACTTAGTGAAACCTAGGGTCCCCCAAGGCCAATTGATGTGTGGTTGATATCCCCAAGCCATAGGTCCCTTAGAAACTTAAATTTATGCTTCCCCGAAATCCCATGCTTGCTGTCCTCTTTGTGAACTTGGGGAAATCCAGTGATTTTTGCCAAGTTGCTCTCATGTGAGAGTCAAAAGGACATGCCGATATGCGTAGGGTCGTTGGATTGGTATCCAACGCCCTCCAAATGCATGAAATAGGCATCATGTTGTTCTCCAAGCCTTCACCTAAAACTAAACCATATGATAGGTGATTACATTTGATTCAAAATCAAATGTCGAGGTGCAGAATTCTTCTCTAATGTGGCATAGTTGTTTGTCCTCTAGATTTGCACGTTATGACAAAATTAATGCATGCATGTAGAAGGTTTGTATTACTATGCTACTTAAGGTTTTCTCCAAATTTATTGGATGTTCAAATGTGCGTTTCAATTATTTCATGAAATGGTGGGATCTTTCATGAACATTTTTTGTTTATGTTTTAAATCCCATAACGAAATGATTAATTGAAATCATCTTTGAAATCTCTCAGAATTTGGAGAGCCAAAACAAATAAATTTTCAAATCAAATGCACTCATTCATAGGTTCTCCTTAGATCATAGAAAAGTGATCCTTAGGACCTATCCATGAGCATTTAAGTGGTGATTCACTTGCATGCCTTTAGGTTTTGTTAGATAACACCAAAGGTTGTCTTCCAAACCTCCTAGAAATCGTAGGAGTGAGTTCATCCCCTCTAAATGAATCCAAAACATTCATTCAAATTATAGGAAACTCTCTTTCCCATACGATTCCTCCTCATTACATTGAAAGTGGAGCCTCCTCAAGGTTCTAAGTGCCATGTTATATGAGCCCTTTGAACTTAGAAATAAATCGTAAGTCTCCAACCTTTTGTTTGTT